CGCATCACAGAGGGTGACGCGGGCGGGTGGGTCACCCGAAAACTGGTTGAGAAAAACAAGGTGCTTCACTTGCATCCTGGGCCTCAAAATGAGGCGAAACATCCACTCAATACGTTTACCGCGCGGCGCGCGCACCGCAGAAGGTGGCCCGCGGGCGGGTGGGTCACCCGAAAACTGGTTGAGAAAAACAACTTGTTTCAGTTGCACCCTGGGCTTCAAAATGAGGCGACGCAAACCTACTCAATGCGTTTCCCTCGCGGCGCGCGCACCGCAAAAGGTGGCCCGCGGGCAGGCGAGTCACCCGAAAACTGGTTGAGAAAAACCAAGTAATGCAGTTGCACCCAGGGGCTCAACATCACGAGGCGATGCGCACCCATTGCATACGTTCCCCATGCGGCGCGCGCACCAGAAAGGTGACCCCGCGGGCAAGTGGGTCACCCGAAAACTGGATGAGAAACAACAAATGTTTCAGTTGCATTCTGGGCCTCAGCACGAAGTGATGCATACCCACTGAATACATTTCCCGCGCGGCGCGCGCAGCAAGGAAGGTGGCCCGCGGGTGGCCGCGGGCGGGTGGGTCACCCGAAAATTGGTTGAGAAAAACCGAGTGTTTCAGTTGCACCCTGGGCATAAACACGCGGCGCATACCGCGTTCCCCGTGCGGCGCGCGCACCACAGAAAGCGACCCACGGGCGGGTGGGCCACCCGAAAACTGGTTGAGCAAAAACCAACCGTTTCAATTGCATTATGGGACTCAACATGATGCGATGTGATGCCGACGCAATCAATCCGTGTCCCGCGCGGCGGGCGGGGTGATCCATCTCATCTTATGGCTTGACCCGAAGCCCAATAGTGAGCGTTGGGCTTCGTTTGATTGAGCAAGTGGTTTGACGTGTTCTTTTTTGTGCGTGCTGGTTGAAGTGCGAGCTGTCGTTGCGCGCTGGCCGTCGCGGGTGGGCTGCGGGCGGGCGCGTCAGTCGTTGTCAACGATTCGTTGATGCTGTGGGCCCCATGGGCGGTTCTGTTATGCGCTATTGTGTTCCTGATGTGCGCTGATGTGAGCGGTTGTGTCAGTCGCGTTCGTAGGGTGATACGCGCTCGGTTCCGTCTTGCAAATTAGCGCTGAAGCGGCGCGTCATTGCGCCGCGAAGTTAACATGTATATATCGTAGAAATCAGGGAAGGGATGCGCCCGCCACCCCCGCCACTTGCAGTCTTAATAGCCTCGGGGGCAGGCGGCGCTGGAGCGTCGGCCAGCGCGACCGGCGGCGCTGGAGCGCCGGCCGGCGCGACCGGCACTGGCGCTCGGATCTCGATGGCCACCGGCACCTCGTCACTCGCCGCGTTCGCCGTCGCCGGCGCCCGCGGCGTCCCCGCGGGGCCGCTCGGCATGTCCTTGTCGCGGTCCGGGCGCGCAGCGCTCCGAACTCCGCGCCGATGTGGAGTTGCCGGTGCGCGGCGTGGGCCCGGAGTAAAGCCTGGGGAGGAACTTGTCTTGGATGCTGGCCTTCCGCTTGCCCCCGCGGGAGGTGCAGCGCCTTCTCCGAGAAACCGGCGAGGCCCTTGTCGAAGGCCTGGCCGCGCCTGGGCCCCCGCGCGGTCCGACCGTCAACGCCGCGCCTGCCCGGGTTGATCGACGTCGCGGCGTGCTCGACCGTCCATGGGGTCGCTGCGTGATCCACGCCGATCGATGCTCGCGCCGTGGAGGTCGTCGACCTGCGTTGAGGGTTAATTTCCTTTCGGGCGAGTCGATGAATTTTCGCGCCGGGGGGGGATTGCTGTCATTGATTTCTAACTTTTTCCGCAGCGTTGAATTTCGCGCGTTCTCGCGACGCCCGCGCGGGCGCGGAGCTGGATGCCGCGTGGTTTCGCGCCGTTCGCTTCGGCGCGGCGTGGATTCTGATGGCCGCGGGGCGGCGCTCTCTCGGGATACATCAGCTCCCTGGCGTTCCTGCGCCTCGCGCGCAATTCCGGATCCGGGCCGCGCGTCGCCTGCTCCGCGGCGGGGCGCCCTTCGGTCGCAAGCTCGAGCCTGGTCTCCGCATCCGATGGTTTCTCTATCCAACCGTGGGGGCGAGTTCAACGCGCCGCGAAGGCGGAGCGCCGGTGCTGCCCGCAGTTTTGAAAGCGCCAAACGCGCCCAATTTTCTTTTGGTGCCTCCCCGCCGCGGGCGCCCGCCCGCCGCGGCGGCGGCGCCCCGCGCGCGGCGGCCTCGCGCCCGCGCGGCGCGAGTGAGCGGGCGCCACGCGCCGTTGGCGCGCGAATATTTGGGGCGATCTGCGCGAGGGGCGCGCCGTCGCAAGCGCCGCGCAACGAGCGGCGCTGGTGCTCGAATTCGCGGGGCGCGATGCGCGCGAGGGGTGCGCCGACGTGTGTGTGTGTGTGTGTGTGTGTGTGTATACACATATATTCATATATCTATACATATATATATATATATATATATATTAGTATTATTATTATTATTATTTCCCAGCCCTCCTTGGTTGGGTATTCGTTTTGAATAGGGCAGTGTGGTCGCGTCCTTCCTCCTCCCGCCTCCCGCCTCTTTCCTGCCTCTTTCTGTCTTGCCTGCGGGGGGCTGCGATCTGTGAAACTGTCGCCACTTTCGAGGCCTGCTGGGGGGCTCAGCATAGAGGGTAATCGCGGCAGATTCAAATTAGACCTCGCCATCCCTGGGGGGCTGCGATCTGTG